TTTACAGCCACTTTTGAAAGAGATGTATCCTTGCTCTGGAGTCTGTTGCTGAATATGTTAAATCTGTAATGAAATGCTTCTTCTAGTAGTGTAGTTATTAAATTTTTAAAAAATAAAAAAAATTCTTCAAAGCATAACAATTTGCTCCTTAATAATTAGTAGATGTGAAGAACATTACCACTGAAATGTACCTGATAACTTTATATCCATGCTCAGATGCCAAGGAGCTCAGAAAGTAACTGACCGTGACTAGTAATCATCAGATATATAGAGATTAGAAACGCATGTGCAAACATCTTAATGTTAATTTCATTAAAAATGAATTTTTCTGAGCCAGACGTGGTCACGCATGTCTTTAATCCCAGCACTCGGGAGGCAGAGGCAGGCAGATCTCTGCTGATTGTCTCATCCTGTATCACTGTTCAGCATGGGAGAAGCCAGAGAAGTCCACCTCCCTTTTTTCTATTGGCAATTTGGGTAACCTCTTCAGAGGATGGTGTGATAAGAATAGGAGGCAGGAATTGGCTAGGCAGTTAGTGTAAAACAACGCCAAAGGAAAGTAGCCAGTTTCTTGGCTAAAAGTCAAAATGTCCATGGGCCTCTTAGCAACAAACTGTTCCAAAGGCCAAAAATGTCAAAAGTATGTGGGAGCTCTTATCTAATCCCTGAAAGATTTTAGGGTTCCCTCTTCAGAAGGGGGAATGTTAGAGTAGCCTAAAGCCCCATTAAAAAAAAAATTAAACAAGAAGAAAGAGAACATGAAGTTATCAGAAAAAAAGTGATGGGGAGATATGGGAGGAGTTGGAGGGGAGGGAGTTGGCATGGATTTGATCAAAACACCTTATATGCATGTGTGAAATTCTCAATAAATTATTTATTTAAAAAAAAAAAGAACACTGGCTGCTCTTGCAGGGGACTGGGATTGGGTTGCCAGCTTACAATGGCTTACAACCATCTTTAACTCCAGTTCCAGGGACCTGACGCCTTCTTTTGGCATTCGTGGACATTGCAGGACATGGGTGCACTTACGTGCATTCAGGCAAAAATACTCATACACATAAAATATAAATAAATAGATTTTTTAAAAAAGAGTAGAGCCTCTTCCCATTTATTTCTGCATCTTATGCATCTTAGAACAGGTGTGGTAAGTAGTAGTAAGCCTGAGTCTGAATGAAACACGGGATCGAAGGGAATCACACCATTAAGCCAGTCTTGGTGAATTCAGACATACAAAGCATTGGGTTTGCGCCAGGAGTCCTCAGTGATTACAACGCCCGGAAGACAGAGAATAGGACTACGACTCCCAGAAGGCTGCGCGATTATGTAGTCTTCCTGCTGTTTTCGCGTTCCTTTGCCTATCAGAGAGGAGGGAGCGGAGATACCGCGATACTTGGGGGCAGCCTGGCGCTGGTGAGCTTTACTAGGGGTTGGGAATCTGGGTCCGGAGTTCTGCTGGGTGGGGAAGCGGGAGAAGCTGCTCTGGGTATTGTGGGTCGGAGCGGTCCATGTGTTACCTGTGTGCTGTGCAGCCCTTGATGTGTGTGACCCCCATTGCATCTGCACCTGTACTTGCTCATGCTGACTTCATGCTGCTCTACCCCTGTGTGGTGTAGAGTGGTTCTGGGTCTAGTTTAAAAGGCGACCTTGTCAAGTGTCCCACGCTTAAACATACCCTTAAAAACAGCAACATAAGGGTCGGGAGAGATGGCTTAGCGTTTAAGAGCATTGGCTGCTCTCGCAGAAGATCCGAGTTCGAGTCCCAGTACTCACATGGCAGTTGATAGGGGTGTGTAATTCCAGTTCTAGGGGCTCCAACACCCTCTTCTGACCTCCCCAGGCACTGCACGACAGTGGTGCACCTACCTACATGTAGGCAACATACACATAAAAAAAAAATAATAACTAAAAAAATTGGGGGGGCTTTTTGAAACAGGGTCTCCTTGCAGCTCCATCTGGCCTAGAACTCACTATGTAGACCAGGCTGGCCTTCAATTCACAGAGATCCGCCTGCCTCTACCTCCTGAGTGCTGGGGCTACAGGTGTATGCCACTACTGCCCGGCTAAAAATTTTTTTAAAGCAACATGGGGTTGGAGAGATGGCTCAGCGGTTAACAGCACTGACTGCTCTTGCAGAGGATCTGGGTTCAATTCCCAGCACCCACGTGGCAGCTAACAACCCGTTTGTAACTCCAGTTCCAGGGGAATCCGATGCTCTCCTCTGACCTCTGTGGTTATTCCATGACATGGGTGCATTTACATACATACAGGCAACATTCATACGTGCAAAATAAGAATAATACATGTTTTTAAAAAGGCAACATAAGGCTGCCTCCAATAAAGGGGGTCCTTTAGGGCTTTCCCAAAGTGAAAAGTATTTTATTTCACTGACTTTTTTTTAATATACTGCATTTATTTATTGGGGGTGGGAGGAAGTGTAGACCTACTACAGTACTTGTGGAAGTCAGGACAACTTGCTGGCGTCGGTTTTTTTCCTTCCACTATGTGGATCCCGGGGATCGAACCAAGTTTGTCAGGCTTGGCAGCAAGCACCTTTTACCCTCTGAACCGTCTTGCTTGCCCCAAACTAGAAAAAGAAAAGCCCTGGAGGTGTTGAGCAGATTTATCCCTAAATGTGCAGCGTGGCATTTAAAACTTAGAGGGCCGGGAGCCGGTGCTGGATAGTGGGCAGAAGAGATTCTTAGGCTGGGGTTTCCCATTTCTTACCAGCGGCTGGGAGGCAGCAGTCGTTTTCACCACTGCTTCTTGGGTTATGAGAAGTATGTCTTTAATATGTGCCCTTGATAAGAGGTGTCCAAATGAGATTCCAGGAGCTTCAGAGACCAGCGTGCCCAGGTCTGGTGTGAAAGAAGTATGTTGGCAGAATGTCAGGCCTTTGCACCTATGGTTCTTTGCATTCCCTACCACAGAGAAAGGGGTTCAAGTGCCCTGTGGCATGGGATGCCTTGTAGCTTCAGATTTTGGTACAGGGTGATACTTTGGAAAACTACAAATTGGTTTTATAGATGCTAGCTGTGTACAGGAGAGCAGAGGATTGGTAGGAGGTGGGGCCAGTAGGGAAAGCATGGATGTGGGGCTGAAGGATTCAGGCTTTTTGTTTGATTTTGGTTTGTTTTTTTTTTGAGACAGGGTCTCACTGTGTAGCACTTGCTGGCCTGGAACTTGCTGTGTAGACCAGGTTTGCCACAAACTCTGCCTGCCTCTGCCTCCCAAGTGCCGGGATTAAAGGTGTGTGCCACCACAGCGGGCCCCTTCACACCTCATGGTTCCTGGATCCTTGTCTGCATATCACCCACTTCTCTGGTTTTGTTCTGCCTTACTGTTGCTGGTGGTGAGGGCTGGGGAGGTCTCAGAGGCAAACAGACCAGATAGAGACCCAGTATTTGCAGGTTCTTATTATCATAGAAACAATTTAAAAATAGGTAAAGGAACTGGGCAGAAGTTTTATTATAGATTGAAAATACACTCAAGAAGCAGCAGGCTTCTCTATGGGCGCTTCTTGTGGGCATTAGAGTAAATCTTGGGACATGGTACAAGATTATGTAGTTGTTTTTTGTATAGTTAAAAAAAAAAAAAAAACAAAAAACTAGGGCAGTTTGCTGGGTGTGGTGGCACTCACCTTTAATCCCAGCACTTGGGAGGCAGAGGCAGGTGGATCTCTGAATTCAAGGCCAGCTTGGCCTACATAGTGAGTGCCAGGCCAGCTGGGCTACAGGGAAACCCTGTCTCAAAAAGACCAAAAACAAAACAAAAAAAACACAAAAAAACAACCAAACCACAACTAGGGCAGTTTGACTAGGAGTATTTTCTCTTTTGGTGAGTCAGGATGCAGGTTAGAAGGTCAGACTTAATGTCTACAGTTTAAGCTGTTTTTAACACAAAGATAGTTATTAATTAAGCCCTTATCTAACTACTGTATGGTTTATAGGTTTATAACTTCCTGGTTTTCACACTCCTTGGTTTTAAGCTCTTCCCTTTTGACTTCCCATTCAGTCCTTTTCATCAGGGCCAATCTCTGATCCTTCCTGTATTGGGCTGAGCTTATATCCTGCCTGGCCTTGATTACCCTTGCTTCCTTCTTTTAGCTGGATTCTTTCCTGGCTGCATTCTTACCCGTATTGTTACTGGCAGATATCCAGAAACCTGTAGTTAAACTTTACCCATGATAAAATGAGAGAAGAGGCATAGACATCCCCCACTGAGAACTTCTGTCTCTCTTGTAAGTTCTATTTCTTTTTCTTTTTTTCTTTTTGAGACAGGGTCTCCCTGTAGCACCAGCTAGCCTGGAACTCACTATGTAGACCAGGTTGGCCTTGAACTCAGAGATCCACCTGCCTCTGCCTCCCAAGTGCTGGGACTACAGGCGTGCGCCACCATGCCTGGCTGTAAGTTCTGTTTCTTATAGTACACATAGAATAGCAGATTTACATTTTGTGGTTATAATACAGGTCAAATCAAAATAGGAAAGAAATATTTCATGTATGTAGCTTAGAATAAAGACTGCTCTAGAGCTATTTAGCTATCACTGTCACATTGGTAATATGGCATCTTCCTTATACCTCAACCTATGAGGGTACAAAGCAAAATGTATCTTTCGTCCGAGAATGGCCAAGTGTCACTCAGGCTTGACTGTAGAAGTTTAAAAGAAACATTGAACTACATGATAAACTAAGCTTTTTCTCTCTCTCTTTTTTTTCTTGGGAGGGTCTATAGGGGCAGGAGAGAATTGGAAGTTATAATTTTCAGCTCTGGAAGCTTCTGGACGCTTCTGGATGAACGTGATGCATGGTCTTATCTCTGTCTGCTCCTCTAAGCAGTGAGCTGTGGTTAGGGTGGTAAGGGGTGGTAACTGCCTTTCAATACCAAAGGAAATGTGCTGGAAATTTTTTAACGCAAAGCATGAGAAGAACTACCATTAAGCAATTAGGAAGAAACACATAGAAGAACCACTTCTAAGTATGGCAAGGGCTTTTCTCTCTCTCTTTTTTTTTTTAACTTAAAAATGTTTTAAAATTTATTTTTATGTGTATGCGTGTATTGTCTGCATGTAGGTAAGCGCACCCATGTCATGCAATGCCCATGGAAGTCAGAAGAGGCTATTGGATCCCCTGGGACTGGAGTTACAGACAGTTGTTGGCTGCCATGTGGGTGCTGGGATTCGAACCCAGGTCTTCTGCAAGAACAACCAGTGTTCTTAACCGCTCAGCCATCTCTCCAGCCCCCTTTTTTTCTTTTTATTATGTTTTGGCAGTTCTGTTTATTATGTATGTGAAGAGTCTTCCTCTGTTGTTCTGAAGGACAGAGAAAGTTGTTTCCTGGCTGTAGCCTACCTGCATGGCATGGTGCCCAGGGTCACACAGCTCAGTCATCACAGCCTTTCAGTTACTGCCTACCTGCCTGTCAACTCTTTGCTGCTGCTCAGTTCCTGTGAGTGGTAGAAACCAGGGAAGTGGGGTGCTGCCTATAGCTCCCCTGACTGTCAGTCAATAAATATACACATAAATAAATTTTAAAAAGGCTTTAATAGGAACTGGGTGGAGACACAGATTTCATTGACTTAGAATTTGATCTTTGAGAGCAAACAAACTGGCCAGCTATCACCTTCCCTTGGACTCTCAGGTTGAACACATTTGACCTTGCCTCTAAATGCTGGTTAAATAATCCAGTTTTTGTTCTTCAGATATAAAACACACACACACACACACACACACACACACACAAACACATGCACACAATCACATTCTCAAACTCATACTTTTTCTAAAAAGATGGTTTTGGTCCTGAGCAAAGCTTGCTCAGCAGGCCAAGTAGTGTATCTTAGGCCATGGAACTCGCTGTGGGGAGTGGTTGAAATCTGCTTTTAACTGATTGCTTTCTGTAACATGAGCCCCAGGAATGTTACCTTCTTGAGGAGGTTCAGGAACTCTAGAGATGAAATTGAGGTGGTTTTGCAGGAATCTCTCTTAGCACCATTGGGGTCAAGTAGGAGAGGGTCAAGCTTTGAGATCTGGCAGCTGTTTCCCATGGGGGATCAAGAGTGTGCCTCTCAAGCTCAGCAACTAAGAGCAAGCACTGCTATTGCAGAGGACCTCAGTTGGGTTCCTAGCACCCATGCCTGGCATCTCACAACTGCCTGTAACTCCTGTTCTGGGGAGTTTGAATGACTCTGGCCTCTGTGGGCACCTGCCTCAAGTATACATGCACATAATCAAAAAGAAAATAAATCTTAAAAAGAATGTGCTTAGCTGGGCGTGGTAGCATGCACCTTTAATCTCAGCCCTCGGGAGGCAGAGGCAGGTGTATCTCTGTGAGATCGAGGCTACCCTGGTTCAATTCACATTGTGACTTCCAGGTTGGCTATGACTAGAGAGACCCTGTTAACAACCAACGAAAAGACAAAAAAAAAAAAAAAAAATTAGACAATTAAAAAAAAAAAGAATGTGCTTCTCAGTGGGGCGTGGTGGCACATGACTTTAGTCCCAGCCAGAAGATTGCCTCCATACTAGACTTCTTGACTACAAGAGTAGTGTTAGAAGTAAAACTTGAAGTCCAAGAACACAACAGATACCACAAAACAACAACAAAACACTCAGATATGCTGGGCATGGTGGTGCAGCCTTTAGTCCCAGCAATCAAGAGGCAGAGGCAGGCAGATCTCTGTGAGATCGAGGCCAGCCTAGTCTCCTTAGCAGGTTCTAAGCTAGCTTGGGCTACAGGGAGACCTGTCTCAGACAAAAACAAACATAAAAACCAAACTAACAACCAAACAAACGTGCTTCTGTCACTTTCCGACAGGTCCCATGGACCTTGCCAGTTGCTAACAGGGCTTCCCAGACCCTGGGGGTGGGCTTACTGCTCTAACTCTGGGCAAGGCTAGTCCTGGTTGAGGCTTTGAATGACAACAGAGATCGAAAGTGTCAGCAAGTAGAACTTTAGTAGAACCAGCCTATGCGTAATCCCTCTGAGAAGGGTAGCCAAGCATGACCTCAGCTCACATGGGTGTATGCCTAATTGCTGAAGGCAAATGCCAGGCAGAGAGGCTTCTGTGGGTACCCAGCATGGAGGTAGCTGAGACCACTCTCCAGCCCTTCTTCCTTGAGGTCTGCTGGGATTTCCTTCCATTGCTGAGCTTGCCTTTTTAGAGTGCATCTTCTAGGACTTTCTGTCTTGAGCCCCTTGCCATCATCTTTTGAGCATTGACTTGGGTTTGTACTGGAAGGAGCTTCAGAAATCACCCACTCCTACTCCTGCATTTTGAACATGTATAGAGATTTAGGGAGAGAATGACCCTGCCCAAGGTCAGGAGTGCAACCGTGGACAGGGCCCAGGCTCATGATTCACAGGACAGGTTATCTGTACCATGATTCATAGGGCAGATACTCAGGACTGTGATAGTGAGTGGACTAGTGGTTGGTAGCTATCTTGTCACATGCAGGAAGCTTGCTGGTTGTGGGGGGGGTGGGGACAAGGGAAACTGATAAACCAAGTCAATCATTGAAAAGGTTCATCCTAGAGAAGGACCATTTCAAACTCATCCAGAGTCCCTAAAGACAGCAGTTAGATATTCCACAGTTTTCTGCTGAGGGTTGAGTGTGGGTGATGGAGTGGGGTGTACTGGTCCAGCTGCTAGAGTATAGGTTTTGCTGCGTCCATCAGCCATATCATCACGTACACTCACCTCTGGCAACATCTGAGAGCCAGAGGAAGAAACTAACCTGCAGGTCTCATGGGTTGGCCTACCTCCACTTTGTGTTTGTTCAAATTTGATTTGTAGTTTAGTGCTCACCCTGATCCACAGAGATGGGAACAGCCACAGAGGCAAATCTTGGCTCTAGAAGCACACTTCTTGCCCATGGTCCCACCTCAGCAGCATCTTTGAACCCCATCTCCTGCCATTTCCTCTGCTAGCCAGCCCATTGCAGTAACGCCTCTTACTCTCAGTCTCCATCTCATGGCCCCCTCCACACATTCTTAGCCCCAGTACCATCTCTCAAATCAAAGAACCCGGTTCTTGCCACCCTTGACATTCTGGCCATGGTCTGCTTGTACAGCCTGCCCTACCCTTCCTAACCTCATGACTCTTCAGCTTCATTCCTAACCTGCATCCTGTTCCCCATACCTGCCATCCCTCTTCAGACCTCTTCACTGAGTAGTAACTTCCTTTTGAAGTCATTTCTTCTTGTCTGTGGTAAAAGTGCTCATTCCTCAGAACTCTGTCTGAATGTGATCTTTGTGTGAGCAGTTCCTGAGGCAGTCACTAAGCAGCCACATCCCAGGAATAGCCCTTACAGCACTGAGCACATTACAGTGTAGTTGCCTGTGTGGAGAGGTCTGACTCGATCATCACACACCATGTCCTCCTAGAGCAGGGACTGTTGACACCCACAACAACCCTGGCATCTAGATGACCATATGATGTTTGCTGTATGAATGTATAAATGAAACGTATGTCTTTTATTCTGTTTTAGATTCTAAATCTTGGCAGAGCTTTTTGGAATCCAGCTTTTGTAGGCTCCCAGAAGCCACCAGACCCCACATGGAACCAAGTGTGCTCTGTCCAGCTACCGTACCCTCAGTGGAGAGAAAGTTCCACGTTCTTGTGGGTGTCACTGGAAGTGTTGCTGCCCTGAAGTTGCCTCTTCTGGTATCAAAGCTTTTGGAGATTCCTGGGGTGAGTATTCTCTAGAGATAAGCATGGTGGCTTGTAGCACTAGTCACCTTGCTGGGGCCAACCCATTCATGCAGTAATTGAGATGTTCTCTTCCTTAATCTTTGTTTGTTTGTTTGTTTTGTTGTTTGTAACCTGCCTGGAGGTCACTATATGTACCAGGCTGGCAGATATCCACCTGCCTCTGCCTTGATTGTATGGAAGTCCCTATATGTGCCTGTAGACAGGGCAGACAGGAGACAGATCATTGCACACACAGTGTAAACAGAAGCAACATTAGATTAGTTGTTGTGGATAGGGCATGAGGGAAGATGGGGAAAGGGCACCATGAATAGAGGGTTTGATTCCCATACACTGACCTGCGAGTCCCTAAGGTCCTGTGGGAGGAGAGTGGGCTGGAGGGGAGAGGAAGGTCTCAGCTTCCCTTGCACCCTATGCGGCTCTACTACTGCTTTTATTCCTTCCTGAACACTGTGGCTCTGCCCTCCCTTTTAAAAGCCTTGCTTGTCCTGTTAGTCAAATGCACTGAGACCTCAGGGGCTGTCCATTGCCCACAGTTTTGTTTTTAATTCATTAATTTTATGTGTATGCGTGTTTTGCATGTATGTAAGTGCACCCATGTTATGCAGTGCCTACAGAGGCCAGAAGAGGGCATCAGATCCCTTGGAACTGGAGTTATGGATGGTTGTTAGCCCCCATGTGGGTGCTGGGTATTGAACCCAGTTCCTCTGCAAGAGTAGCCAGTGCTCTTAACTGCTGAGCCATCTCTCCAGCCCTCAGTTTTTGTCTCAGACTCAGCTCCCAGAGTCTCTCCTGTAGCCACTACCCTGTTGGGGTAGGGGAATTTTGCCCTCTGTTCTTGGTCAGGCCACCTCAACTTTGGTTTTATATATTGGGATTCAGGGGTAGAAAGCTGAAGACAAACTTTGTGAACTCCAACAGGTTGATGCTCCACTTCCTTGTCTGGCCTCCAGAGTTTTCTGTATGTCCCTTTCGTGTCATGTTGCTTCCGTGTTCCACCCAGTGGCCATTGCCTTGGGCTGACCCCTGCCTGTAACTGCCCTTCTGCCCGAACCTTCAGTCACATATTTTACTGCCTGCCTCAGCCTGGGTGGATTTTTATACTTTTAAACTCATTTGACATAGAATCATGGCCTAAACTCATTTGGCTAGAATCATGGGTTGTTTTGGACACTGCCTGCCCGTTGTGTTATGCAACACTAGTTTAGCCCCAGGTTCAAGCTGTACATTTTCTTTGCTTGTGCCTGACTGCTGTGGGGCCGCCTAAGGTGGTTGTACCTTATATGCCCTACAGAGGGCAGTGTTCTCTCACAGATGACTATGTGGGGCCTGCCAGCAGGGGCAGAAAAGGCTTGTTTCGTCTACTTTCTACCAATTTCTTCTATTCAGAAAGTTACTGCCTCACGCTAACACCCCCCCCACCCCCACCCCAGTTAGAACAAGCAATGAAGTTGCCAGCCTGGAATGCCAGCCATGCCAGAGCCAGGAGAAAGGAGAATCCCAAGACTGCTCTGAGACTGAGTGGTGGTGCACTTTTGGGGCAGTGTTGTCTGGAACCAGTCACCCCCTCATGTGCTCAGAGTTGCAGGTAGGAGGTGACCAGCTAGGGTCTGGAGGGCAGGGGGCCCTGAAAGGGTTGCCGCCTCAGTAACCCAGCCCCACCCCCTGGGGAGAGAGGGAATCCAGCAGCTCCTTTTCCCATAGCCCCAGAGCAAGTGCGTTTCCGGATGGGCGGGTAGGGGGTGGGGAGTTCTATCCCAGGAAACAGATGGGCAGCCTCAGAGTGCAAGGCAACGGCAACCCCACCACTTCCTTCCAGCCCACGCATTCAGCATGTGTGGGGGTGTAAGGAAAGGTCTGCTTGGAGCAGGGAGGTGCTCCACCCACTCCAAGCCTTTAACGTGGGCCCCTGGGAAGACAGACCTAGTCTGGAACAGGCCTTGGCGGCTCTTTCTGGCTGGGGTTAAAGCCCAAGTGAGGCAGCTAGAGGGCGCTTAACAAGGAAGTGAGGCCTCCCTAGACTTGCCTCAGAGAGCCTGCCTTTCTCGTTTTTAAAATAGGGATGATATCTTCTACCCATCCTCTAGGAATGGAGGGGGAGGGGATAACACAGGTGACACCTTTTCACAGCAACTAGGCACAGACTGGCATGTGGAAGTATTTAACTACTTAACTATGTATTTCCTAACCACCTCCCACCCCCTTGACTCTGTGTTACCTTGGGCCACCACATGGTGTGAGGTATTGAGGTTGGTGAGATACCCACATGGGAAAAGCCCTTGGAACTGGAGTCTACATCCTCATCCTATAAGTAGACAGCTTGCCAAGCCTAGCTTTGCTCTGTGGGGTTCTGTGAGGTTGGTAACCAGGGGTTTGCATCTGGTGGCCAGAAGTGGTACTCCCTACCCCAGCACTCCTCTCTCCAGTCCCTTCCCTGGGGTCCTGAGCTCCCCACTGCCTGTTTATGGAGTAGCCTTAGTCCTTTGGAGCAGTCACTTTCAGCTCTTTGCTTGCTGGGTTGAGTGCTCATGTTTTTTATTTGTTTGTTTTGGGTTTTTGTTTTGCTTTGTTTTGTTTTGAGACGGGGTCTTGCTATGTAGCCCTAGCTGACCTGGAACTTGCTGTGTAGAATGGGTTGGCCCTGAACTGGCTGAGATCCACCTGCCTCTGCCAGGCTTAAAGTTGTGTGCCACCAGACCTGGCTTTGAGTGTTCAGATGGACAAAACGTTCCTCAGTTCTCTTCAGGACACCCAGCTTATGAACGGCCAGTAAGTAGCTGGGTATGGGATGCAGAGAGCTGGGCCATCATGCACACACCTCTCCTGATGTGCCACCATGTACAGGTATCCTGGGAGAGCCACTGACCTGTGAGAGGCTGTGTTCTCACCCCACAGGCAGATCAGAGAGATGTGAGGGCCTATGGTGAGTGGTGGGTTTAGCTGCTGGCCACATACACAAGCAGCTGGAGAGAAGTCAGTGGCAAAGAAGTCCGGGAGTCTTTTTGTGAGGCAAAGGAGTAAGAGGAGGGAGGCGGTGGGAACAGCTTTTACCTCAGGAGAGGCAGTGAGCCAGCTTTGGTGGCACACACTTGTAATCTCAGCACTGGGAAGGTGGTGGCAGGAGGTTCAAGGGTTAAAGGTGAGCCTCAGCCACATGAGAAAAATAATAAATAAATAAATAAATTAATTAATTAAAAGAGGGGGTGCTAGGAATGTAGCTCAGCTGATAAACTGCTTGTCTAGATTCACAAAGCCCTGGGAATGGTGATCTCCATCACAACATAAAACCAAGCATGGTGTTGCAAGCCTCTATTCGTGACACTGGGGAGGGGGAGGCAGCAGCAGCAGTTCAAGGGATGCTCAGCTGCATAGCAAGTTTGAAGTCTGCTCTGGCCTTGTGAGACTGTCTCAAAATAAATAAATAAATAAATAGGAACAAGACAGAGGATTCCTGACACTGGGGCTCGGCCTGTTTATTTCCATTTTTGTTTGTTTCTTTTTTTAGCTGTAGTTTTCTTATCTGGGCGGTGAAGAGTAGGCAGGTATACAAGTGACCTATTCATCACTGGTGTTAGAAGATTCTAGGTGTCAAAGCAAAAGGGACTAAGAAGGTTGCCTAGGAGAAAGTTTTGCAGCTCCATAATTGTTATGTATGTGGGCAGCAGTTACATCTGGGCTGTCAGATCCATTTTTGCTCCCTGGTCAGTAGTCTGGTCTGAACCCTTTAGGAGTTGGTTTTCTCCTTCCACCATGTGGGAAACAGGTTGTTAGGCTTGGCTGCAAATGCTTTTGCCTTCTGAGCCATCTCACTGGCCTATTTGTTTATTTGTTTAGAGGCAGAATCTCCCTGTGTTAACTAGGTCTGAAACTTGCTATGTGGCCCAGACTGGCATTGAATTTGAGGTCTCTCTCCCTCAGCCTCTTGAGCTTTGGAATTACAGGCCTGTATTATGAGGCTTAGCTTTTTTTTTTTTTTAAGTGTTCACAGAGGAAAGGGGAATAGGGGAAACCAGGCTTGGCATGGGCTTTTTTCCTTTCTTTGTAGGTGGTAGCCATGGAAACTCTTAAGACCTGTATTTGTGTCTCTGCTGGCCTGGCTGGCCCCTTTCTCTACCCTGCAGACTTGTCACCTGTAATTCTAGGGAGTAGGCTCTATGGACCACAGGTCAGACACAACCGTCCCTGGGCCAGGCAGAGGCTCCTGTACCCTGGGGTCCCCTATTATCCAAGAACATTCTTTTCCACAGACTGGTTCCATTTGTAGGAGAAGGGTTACAAAAGTACTGGGCTGGCCCAGTGAGCTGACAACACTCCTAAAAAGCGTATTAGAAAGGAACCAGAGGCAGAAAGAAAAGGAACTTACCTTGCCCAAGACTTCTCAGAGTAAGGTGGTATAGAACTGGGCTTGGGGCTAGTTTGCTGACTTCTGTTAATGAGTGAATTTGGGGAGCTTAGATTGCGAACATGGATATTCTCTGCCCCAGTTTACAACACTGAGAATCTCCAGGAAATTGTAGACTAGCCTCCATTTGTCTTTTTTTTTTTTTTTTTTTTTTTTTTTTTTTTTTTTTTTTCTTTTGTTGTGTCTGTGTTTTTGAGACAGGGTCTCCCTGTAGCCTCAGCTGTACTGGAACTCACTATGTAGACCAGGCTGGCCTTGAACTCAGAGATCTGCCTGCTTCTGCCTCCCAAGTGCTGGGATTATGTTTTTTTTTTTTTTAAATAGTCAGGGTCACACATGCCCCCATCTCCCTACTTGACTGAGTTCTGACTGAGGGCAGAGCCCCTGTCTTACTGACTCTGGCCCCTGTGGCCTGTGGTAAGCTTAGTAAATACATGCTGAGTCAGGCATCCTTATGAGAGATTAGTGTGCTCACTCAGGGTTTTGTGAATGAGGCAACCTTCTCCAGAGCTCCCCATGCCCATGTGTTGATGTTTTTTTCCCCTCAAGAGGATACCTACCATTCTCTTCCCCAGGTTAG